AAGTAACTTCCAGTCTTCTTATTCCCTAGGCTGGTTTAGCTATTCTTTGAGATGGAGAAACTTCATACACTTGTCATCAAAGCACAAGGCCATGTGCAAAGCAGTGCAAGAAGCAGGCAGGATGGACTCAATCTTTGTAACCACTCCTAATATACCAGATCGGCCTTATCCACCAATTTTCATCTTTTTCTCATCAAAACGGCTTCTTCCTCAACCTACTTTGCTGTCTCAAACGCCCTATATCAGTGCTTCTCAAACTTTGATGTGCGTAGGAATCTCTTGGGGGATCTTGGTTAAAATTGCTTCCAGAGGCCGGGCGCGGTGGCTCACGCCTGTAATCCTAGCTCTCTGGGAGGCCGAGGCGGGCAGATTGTTTGAGCTCAGGAGTTCGAAACCAGCCTGAGCAAGAGCGAGATCCCATCTCTACTAAAAAAAAACAAAAGTTAGAGGGAGGTTAATTGGACAACTAAAAATATATGGAAAAGGTTGGCCGGGCATGGTGGTGCATGCCTGTGGTCCCAGCTGCTCGGGAGGCTGGAGCAGGAGGATCATTTGAGCCCAGGAGTTTGAGGTTGCTGTGAGCTGGGGTGACGCCACGGCACTCACTCTAGCCCAGGCAACAGAGCGAGACTCTGTCTCAAAAAAAAAAAAAAATTGCTTCCAGATGTTTGAGGTCCTGAGAATCTGCATTTCTAATGAGCTCCCAGGTAACGACAATACTGATGCTGGACCGATCCGAGTAACAAGACTTGCAATGTTTTTACATCAGTCTTATTTGTAAGCATCTTCTTCGTTTACCTTCGGGATTCCTTTTCCTTACTACTGGGGGAAGCGTGGTGTATTAGCAACAGAATTTGCTCTGTAGCTTCCAGTCCTGCATTTGTATCAATTCCTAGCTGTGTAATCTTAGGCGAACAATTTCTCTTCTCCCTGAGCCTCAAGTTTCCTTCTCTGTAAGATGGATCTGTCACCTGACACAGTGATGCCGTGAGGCCTGAGGGAATTACAAGGCCGTGGTTCAAAGTGAACTGTAGATTGAGATGCCTAGGTCCAAAAGAATCCTGTGCCAAGGTTGCCTTAGATTTGTATAATAAGAGACAACATAAGCAGGAGGTAGCAGCTGCATGCATCATCACGCCCGATATGCTCAAAGATTGTTTCCATGACAAAACTGCAGACGGAAGCCATTATACTAGTCTGCATACTTTATTGAAAGTCACATAAATGGGCCCCAGGATCTTATTCTTTTATTGGTTGTCACACATGTATTTCACACAAGCCATCTTTCCAGCCCTCTATTAATGTCCTTGGCATTAAGTGCTGCATTTCCCTATGAAAATGAGGACTCTTCTTCATCAAAAACACATCTTTAAGGTATCTTGCTTCTCTCTGCAATTTATTATTTCTGAAGCTTTTTCTGGGCTTCTAATGTGTCAAGGCCACTTGTCTGCAGCTACTTTAAAAGTAGTATATAATTGATCTACATTCTCTTGAAAGCAGTTTTTTTCCTAGTCACAGAACTACTTTCTTTCTTTACTACTTTATTTGTCCTAGTTATTACAGAATCAAAGAACTTCTTGTAAAGAGAATAATACTTTCCCATAATAGCCGGTTATTTTAGAAATACTCTGCATGACACTATTTTACTACTGAAATTGTATGATGAGTTTTGCTCCTCAGTGGCTAGACGCCCGCAACCATTATTTTAAACAAAAACTTGAAAAATAAAAATGCAGTAATATTTTTTTGTAAGCCATCTCTTCTTGACTTTTACTATAACCACAGAAAAACTCTGTAGGGATTTGAGCCCAAGGCATCAAGTACTGCAGAGGCACTGAGACCTTTCCCACTTCTCGAGCTGCATGTGTGTACGCCGCCGGTTTCTTCGGCTCAAACTGCACATGCTACGACCTTGGCAAAATACGGAGACACATATGAGAACCTTTTTTTCCCTTTGGGAAATGACTAAGCCAGGGCCTTGACAGCTACCAACTAAAAAACAAATCCTTCACTTCACATGGTAAAACTAGATGATCCTTTTAAAAACATTACCAAATGGGTAAGCTGAATATGAAGAGAAAGCCCAGCTCAGGAGTATCTTCCAGCTAGTTTTCATTCCTCTATAAAGTGGGCCTGCATACCCTCCCCCATCAAATGCTTGCCCTTTAATATTTTGTTAGGCAGGCAAGAGTCAAGAGTCATGCCAGCTCTAGCAATGTACCTCCGTTCAAACACCTACTCAACTGTAGCAAGGGGCAAACGGCATGGGGTATAGAGTCAGAGGGGCCTGAATTCAAATCACAGTTCTGTTATCTACTTTCTATGTGCCCTGGAACTGGTTCCTTTAGCCCCCTGGGTCATAATTCCTTTCTCTGTAAAATGAGAATAATGCTTGTATAATTGTTGTAAGGGTAAAATGAGATAATGTATATGAAGTACCTAGCACTTAGTATGTGCTTAGTTAATGTTAGCGTCCTTAGTTATCACTGCCAGTTCAAGACTGTCAGTTCATCCATTGCCAGTTTCTCTTAACCTTCTGGCCAAGGTATGCTGATCATTTTCTGAAGGTGCCACTCTCTCCCCATAGCCTCTTGTAAATGACTACCCATTCATCAATCCCGGTCCAAGCCAGTCTCATTCCATGACAGTGTGCCTCACCACAAAAGCTTTTGCTGTTTCAGTCACAGTGCCAAAGGAAGGCGCTGAGGTTCATTCTTTGGCATTCTTTAGGTATAGCCCTGGGCAGGGGCAGAGCTACCTAGCCACTAGTCCCTGGCTTCCAGCCAGATTGGTAGTTCCAACTCTCCAGACTAGGATCTTGATCTGTGTCCCAGGCAACAAACAAGGATCTCATGGCCGTGTTTCTGGGACATCTCTCTCCCACTGGGGTCACAAGCAGCTTTTTCTGACTCTCAGTAATCTTCCAGTGTTTGTATTGGTGATTGTGGTATTTTCCCTCGAGAAAACCAGAGTCAAATCATGTCTCTACCATCTTCAAAGGTATTGAGGCCCCGTTAGCTATTATTTCTACAGCCATAATCTGCACAGCTGACTGCTTTCGTCAGTCATACAATGGGACAGGGCATGGAGGCCATAGCTCTGAGCCCAGGGCTCAGAGAGACTCCCTTTGGGGGTGACCAGCAGGTGAAATGATGGGCACTTGGCTCTCTTTCTCCTGTTTTCTTAGCAAATTGGTCTTTCAGTCTGGGCAGAGTGGAGAGGCCACTTGGGCATTCCTTGGTTTAGAAAAGCATCGAGTTTCCACTCAATTTTCAAAAAGGCTCTCTGGGTGTTTGGCCTACATGTTCACCAATAAACCATATTTGGAGTTCGCTCTTGAAAGTGGCTACTGCCTTCCAGTACGCACCTCGGGAGCTGACTTGGGCATGTGTGCATGCACGCTCGCTCACGTTCTATCTCCGTGTCTGTGTTTCTCTCTCAGTACTACAACCAGTGCACTAGCAAGGCCTTGCTAGAAGAGTAGAGGTAAGAAAGCCTTTTCTCTCACACTGTACCACATTATATTAATAATTAAACAGATCCTAAAAGCAAGCAACGGCCCAGTCATCTGCATAAAAACACAAGCACTGATATTCTATCAGGTTCCCTTTAACAAACAGGAATGAGAAATGTTTGTTCCTCAGCCTTCTGACCTACTACATCAATTTTGTTTTAGTTCCTTTCTAATGATTGAGATGATGAATGAAGGGGACCAGGAATTTATGTCTTGAAGTTTTCGACTTGGTCACAAATATGGGTGCTCAAGATAGGGTAAAAGCCAAACCCCCAAAATGATAGCCACTAAAGCCACCAACCTTAAGGACACTTGCTAGATAATTTTGGCGTAATAGGAAAAATCTTGCATAGGAGCCCAGGGACCTGGGATCTTGTCCTAGGTGTGGTCACTAACTTGCTCTGCCTTGGTTTCCCCAAATGTAAACTAGGTAGTTAGACTAAATGATTTTGAAAAGCCCTTCCAATCAAATACTTCACAGGTTGTAAAATGACTCCTTTATCTCAAGGGCTGTGGTTCTTAACCTATACTGTGTCACAAGCCCATCTGAAATTCAGCACAATGTTATGGAACACTCCGCAGAAAAGGCATGCTTCTTTCAGGAGATACAAGAGCTTATCTGCAGAAGGTAAACATGAAGCAACAGTGACAGATGCCTGGCCTCAATCCACCTTAACAATTTTTCTAGCATTTAACCCAAAAATGGAACTCCTACATGACAAACACAGTCTGTCTTTATAAAAGAAATGTTTTCAGCTTTTTTTTTCCTTGATTGCTTGGAAAGGAAGCTGTCAGGAGAAAACAGAATAAAAAACAATCCAAGAAGACCTAGGCTTTGACATGCAAAACACGCTTAGCAGATTTGTCCTAAGAGGCTGTATGCAAGAGCAGGTAGGCCACCTTCCTAAGTCCACATGGAGGGGCTTTAAAGCGTATCACCCATGCTGTCTGGCCCCACAGGAACAGACAGGCTCTTGGAAACATAAGGCAGTGCCAGAATGCTGACCTGGCACCAGCGTCCACATCTTCAGTAAGAGACACGTTAAGATCCTCCAATGTCTGGCGATCATTCCTACTCTCCTCCAACCAAGATAAACAACGGCTTCAATGCAAGTGGCCTTTAGTTCAGGGACAGACCCCTGAGATTGGTCTTTAGCCCAAAATCTTACAGAGTTCAATGGCCTTTTGAGGAAGCAAGAAGTTCTGAGAAGAGCTGAAAACTGGGCTCCCCTCTTCAACTCAGGTGAATGAGTATCTTGGTTTTGGCAGAGTTTGGCTTGAGGAAGTCCAATCATTCACAGTGTTACAGGAACTCGAGATGGACCTTCTGAGGGGATGAAGACAGAATACAAAGGAGAAATAAACATATGTCTAGGACATGTGCTCCTTATTTTATAGTCCCCCAGAGCCTGAAGATGCAGGGCCAGGAAGGAGCTGTTCTTCAGCACAAAATGACTCCACACACAAGGGTTTGAAGAAGACCCTTTCAGAACCTGGAAAGGGTCCCCAGAGGCCAAGGCTTTTAAAACCTGAAAGAGAAAAAAGAGAGTAGGGAATTAGCTGGTTAAACACCGAACAGTCACCGAGTGGTGGGGCCTCTGTTGGTAGGCAGCTAAGGCTATGACTGGTAGCTCATCTTCTGAGGAACAGAGGCTCTCTGGGAAAAGGCCCTTATAAGTCAGATCCCATGGAACAGGCCTAGGATGGCGCTATGATAAGGACTGGAGACTTTGTGCCTTTGACCTCAACTCTAATTCCCAAAAAGTCTACCTGGGGAAGCAGAAGCCTGATACTAAAACCTCTGAGATTACCCCCCTGCATCATGCCCACTGCCTTTACAGCCCTATAATAACTCCAAACTTCCTTTTACTGGAACTTCAACTCCATGGGGATTGATAAGGAGAAGCTTATCTACCTGTGGAACTCTGAGGACTGGCAGTGATAGGACAAAAAAGAAGGGTAGGGAGCACATGGAAAGCAAAGCTCCAGATGCTTAGATCTCATTTATGTGTGTGCCGGGTTCATGTCATGCCAGCAATCTGATAGTCATGCAATCAGAACTCCTAGGTAGGGAAAGGAATTTCCCTGACTTGAGTCTCCTGTGACCTTAGCAAATCGCTTAGCCCCTCTGAACTTTGTTCCTTTATTTGTTGAGTTAAAACACATATACTCCCTACTTCTGGCAAGTGATATGGATCACATGAGATAATGGATGTGAAAGCGCTTTGCATTAGACAAATACAGAGGACTAAGGATGCGCAAGACTGAAATAGTTCAGGTGGGTAAGACTGAAATAGTGATTTTCTCTAAAGGAACAAAATCCATCAGATACTGAGGTAGCCTCTTGGCACCTGTTATAATAGCAAAAGGGAGGTTACTGGTTTCCTTAAAGACCTAAAGTGTATCTTTCTACAAACTGGGAAACTGAGGATCAGAGAAAGAAATATACCTGCCCAAAATGTCACAGCCTAGGATTCCTAATGAATTTGATTCAAAGGCAATCTGTTAAACTACATCCTAGTTTGGCTAGGAGAGAATGAAAGGAAAGAGGAAGGTGACTTAAAATCACACAAAACCTTGGAATTAAAAGGCACTAAGTTTAAGTATCATGCAATTGATGGGGTAGTGAATTGAGGCATAGAGGTGAGTTCCCACCCTCTGGACCTACATGGTAGTCAGGTCCTCAAAATATCAGATCTGGTAAAGAAGGCTTATGTGGAACAAGGTTCTGTAATCAGTGGCAGAGACTACATACCTGTGGCCTCAACTTTCATCTCCAGGAAGTCTGCCTTGAGAACTGTGGAAAAAGGAAGACAGACATTTCACTAAGACTCTAGCAGTCAGGACTGGAAATGCAAACCAAGGGGGTGGGGGACCTTTCCAGGCCAGTGCCAAACAGGTCATCTGAAAAAAGGAGAAGTGATTCTGCCTGGATGTTTGAAAGCATCTAGCTCCATGCTTATAACGTTGGGCTACTTCCCTATTATCCAAGACAAGAAGACATATTTCAAGTGCCAGAACAATCCTTTGAGTACCAGACTATGGAAGGCTAGGAGGGCCCAGAGAAGTTGGCCCTACACGACAGACTACATTTTGTGATTATCTCTAATAGGAAGAAGGGTGAGGAGGTAGGCAAGTACCATGTGAAAGATGAATCTTCCTCTGCCCTGATGACCAAACCAGCCTTGCCCAGTCTGTTGATGTGCTTCAATCAGTTCTAAATTATCCCTGTCTGGGTACAGCAGGGGTGAAGAGACAATCTTGGCAAATAAAGCCCACTATAGTATGGCCACAGCATCCTACACAACAGCTGGTCTCCAGGGCTATGTCCTCAGCCTTCTGTTTTTCTCTTGAGTCTGTTTATACCTACTCCCTGAAATGATCTCACTCCCATCCATGGTTTCAATTACTACCAAATACTAAGGACCCCCCACCAAAGGGCTACTATTCACATTGTAGTATATGTGAATAGCCCCCCTGGAGTGGCCATACTCAACAGATCTACCCCGAAATCTATATAGGTCAAGCTACAACTAATAGCCTAAGTTGCAGTTACCCATTGAACCTCTCTACCTGGATGTCCCACAGTGTCTTCAAAATCACTGTGTCCAAAATTGAGTACAGCAACTTTCCCATAAAACCTGCTTCTTCACGATTATTTATTGTACCATCTACTTGACTGCCCAAGTTAGACTTTTCTCTCTCTCAGTCCTTCTTCAATGTCCCTTCTTTGAAAAGTCAGTCAAGTATTATTGACCCTATCTCAAATCTGTCACTTCTATTCCACTCCTATTGGCAATGCCACAGGCCAGGCTTCACCACCTCTTGCCAGGATGATTAATCTCCCAACTGGTCTCTCTGTCTCTAGTCTTTACTCTCCCACCTGTCTTCCCCGCTACCATCACAGTGATCTTTTTACAACTCAGCTCAGAATATGCACTGCCATGCTTAAAAGTCTTCCCTCACCCATGACTACAGTGCAAAGACCAAACACCTTGGTTTGAAATACAAGGCCCTCCTAACCTGGCCCCAATCCATCTTCCTGGTCTCACCTTCAGCTAAACTTTCCTCTTCTCATTCCCACCTTCTAGCCAAACTGGAACACTAAACACTTCTGAATCTGTCTTAAATAAGCTGTTCTGTCTCCCTGAAGTGTCCTCCCTTCCCTTCTCTGCCTGATTAACCATTACTCATTTTCTTTTGAATTATTTTTTAAAAATTGTTGTGGGAGGGGAATAAATGAATGAGAGATATCATTCAAAGGTCAGACTACAATCACATATATAAATTGGAAGCAAAAAGGGGCAGGACAGAGGTTAAACAGACCTTCATTTTATTAGAGAAGAGAGAAGAGTTGGTAACAATGACCACAGTAGGGACTGACTGTGTGTCTTGTCTGAGGATGTTGATCAGGGGCCAGCATGTGGATGCACTGATGCAAATGGTGGTTACAAGGTGGAGGCCTACATGGAAGGGATGCTCTCCCTAGGTGAATGCCGAGTGGGAAGAACCTGGGAGTACTTAGGATGGCGGCTCATGAAACATTGGCAGGCAGGTGCCAATGGTCTGTGGTCTCCTCTACGCTTGTGCCGAGGTGGACTCTGAGGACAAACAACAGGATTAAACCCAGGTTCTAGAAGGCTGGACATATGGTAGGTAGAGTGGTACTCCAGACTGAAGTGCCTGCTTTGGCCATAGTGCCCAAAGACTGTGGTTGGTCCAAGGCTTCCCTGAATGTGGGCTGACAAATCCCCAGCACACTGGCAATGGCTACCAATCTTTGCATATTCTCAATACCGGTTTCGCTATTGCTTCCCTGTTGGAAGTCAGCCTGCCTTAAAAATTCTATTGGACTTTGTTCATGGCTCTCACATATTCCCTTCTCAATGCCTTGGTTCCCTGTCCCAGGCTATAGATCAAGCCCTCCCATGTTTTCCTGTGTACTTCTACTCATCTTTCAAGCCCCAGCTTAAGTATAACTTCCTCTAAAAAGCTTTCCTTTAGACATGTCCAGTTCATTTTGTTCATTCCAGTTTACTGTATTCTATTTCTTTGGTATTTATTTCTCAAATGGCTTATCCTATCCTAGGGAGAGAGGAAGAACCACAAGGAAGTAGACCTACTCATGGTTACATACCCTATTAAGAATATTAGGGTGTCTCTCCCTTTCTCTCTCCCTCCCTTCACTTCTTTTCTCTTTTTATTTCTCAAGGTACACATTTGGGTAAGCCTACTTTAAAAACCTCCTCAGTGGAAACTTTTATCTTCATGCTATCAGTAGGAGAAATCTGGGGACTTGACCTTACTTTCATCCGTTCTGGTAGAATGGATGGTAAATTATTATCTAAGGACAATTTGGCCCAGTCTAAGGCACCCGGCAGCTCCCTGCCAAGCAGAGCTAGGATGACTTGCTGTGCAGAACCATGTCCTAGTGAGTCAGGTCCCACAGTTCTGACTAGAGGATATCAAAACTACCCCAGCTCCACTGCTGGGAAAAGCACATTGTTCTGCTTTTAACTAGCCAGCTAGAAGAGTTACACCCCTGTCACCTATCAGGAAGCAAAATTTCTAACTAACTGATATGCAACATGGAACAAACTCACAGAGTCCCTGAAGGCTAAGAAACCATTTCTCTAGGTGTTTTAATTCGAACAGTCCCAAATGACGAGCCTTGGGCAGTCTGTACCAGCAAGTGAGAAGTTTTAAAAACAAACTAATGGAAAGGAAGGAAGGAAGAAAGGAAAGAAGGAACAAAGGGAGGGAGGAATGAAGGAAACAAAAAACTAGATTCCCAGGCCTGACTCCTGGATATTCTGTTTCAGTGGGTCTAGAGGGAAAGCCACCAATCTGTGATTTGTTTTTTCCCTCCAAGCTTTCCAGATGATTTGGATGTGCAGCCAGTTGGTTGAGAACCATTGCCTAAGTTTAATGTTTACCTTTGAAATGGGAGCCATGCTTTATGTTAAGAGTGTTGTATTCTACATATCCTTGTCACCTGCCCTTTTAGAATATTAAATAGGTTCTAAATAAGTAAACTCATGAAAAACTAAGACTCATATCGGATGTAAAGTTTTTGCCAGTACTGCTTGGTGTGCATGTGTCTTTGTGCTCATGTGTACATGTATGCACGTGTATGTTTGGGAGAGAGGAACAGAGAGAAAGATGGAGAAACAAGGAGGCAAAGAGACAAAAGATACAGACAAAGTGAGAAAAAGTGTGAGAGACAAAAAGAGATGGAGAGAAAAAGCTAGGAAAGAGAAAGCAACAAACACAGAGAGACTTAGAGCTATAGAGAAACAAAAGGAGAGAATATAAGTGTGAACACAAATGGGATGCTCATGACGAATTTATTAAAAAATGATTTGGTCTCTCTTTGGCCACCTGTGTTTCTTACCTTCCTGTTTTCCGGGAAGCCGTTTCAAAGAACCTGGTCCTAGAAGCCACCCTGCAAACAGAAGCCAAGCAAGTCCCATGAGTTGCTCTGAAATACGTGTGAGAACCTATGACCAGTGGAAAGGACAGGAAACTCTGAACCAGATGAGCCACCAATACTAGGCCCTGCCTTTGCTGACAAAGGACCTGGGTCTTAGAAGAAACCCGAGTATCAGAATGTGAAATGGTCCAGAGCCCTCAAGGCCATAGCAGACACCATTTGTCCCTGTTGATGCAGAATGGTCTGAGTAGGTTGCAAATTCAGGCTTTTCTTGGGGGAAATGAGTGAAATCAGTCTCGATTTCAAAGTGTAATTGTTGGCATTTTGTAAATACACTTAGCTAATTAGTTGAAGTTGTAGACGCTTTGGTCTTCTTCTTTCCCCCATTTTACAATTATGAAAAACAAGAGACAAAAGAAAAGGGAAAACCAGGAGGCGGTATACTGAGAGGGGCCCAGTCACCAAGAAAAGGCCAGCCAGGCTAGTTATGGCCAAGCAAGACGCTCCCTGAGCACTGCCGTGCTCCCATCCTAGTCGCTCCCTCTCTGGTTCCTTGGCTTTCAGCCCAGCCTCAGGAAGGCCCGCTGGACGTCAGTGCAGCTCCTACTCTGCAAGAGGCTCTTGGAGGAACCTGAGTCATTCTGAAAGATTTAAGTCATACTTTTTGCTTACTAAGAAAAAAATAGCCTCAAGCTCAATTATGATGAATAAATCTCTTTATCAAATTACTTTTAAAACCAGTAGCAATCATGAGAAAATAGGAAAAAAAAGTCCAGAGCCAAGGAAGCTAAAAACAGAAGGTAATCATATCACCATACAGAGATCAGGGCAGCTAAGAAAAATGGGCCTCCCAGCATGTACTAAGGTTCAAAGTTTTCAGCTTTACAGAAATCTCTCAGCTTGAGTGTTGAGTGGAACACTCCAAACAGGGCTGGCCTACGATATTCCCCGAAACTCTGAAGTAAATGATGCCCCAGGGCTGTGCTCTGTACACCCTTAGCAGCTATATATGGTGATGCTAAGAGCATTCCTGGGAGCCTAAGACAGACCAGACCTTAGGTCGAATTTGAGGAACAACCCTACTTACACAGATGATGGGATTTCCCCTGCATTGCCAGTCACAATATCTTGCTTTGGTTCTGGCTTTTGGGGAGTAGCTGCCCGGCTGGGAGGGTCTGGGGGCCTCACTGGGGGACGGATGATGGTTGGCTTTTCTCCTGGAGGCCGCACTTTGCTGAAACTGTCAGCGTCCCCTGGAAGAGAGAACAGTCAGCCAGGAACTTAGATGGTTAGCCAAACAGAACACTACTCTTGAGCAGGCACCCAATATTGGTGTTACCTTGGCCACCTTCCTTAGCTCCTATTTCTACTTGGGCACTAACAACTCTGGCTGTTTCTTTTGTTATTCTTCTGGCAGCTGTCCCTTCAGAAAGACTGTATTTGAACCCCAGCTCTGAAACTTCAGATACCTTGTGTGTGTCATATCAATTTCCTAAGTCTCAGTTTCTTTAGTTATATAATCGAATCAATAATATATAGTCTTACAGACATAGTGAGAGGATGAAATTAGGTACTAATATATTTAGTACAAGGCCAGTATATAGTAGGTGCTTAGTAAATGTTTGATGATGGATTTGAATTTGTTACATTCATCATCACTGAAATCCAGGTCCTTTTCACTTAGGCCTTGACTATGATAGTAGTCTCCTAACTCACCTTTCTGCTTCCATGTCTCTCTAGTTTCCAGATTAGTCAGTACAAAATAAATATAAATACTTTTTTATAAGATGGTTCTGGTAGGACTACAGTGAAACAGGGACACTCACACATTGCTGGTGGCATCAAGAACTAGGCTTATTATATCTAGATAGCCATCAAGCATTCTGGAACAATGTGGATGAAATGCAAAATCGTATCTATGAGACAGTTAGTACTTGTTGATCCAGTAATACCACTTTGAGGAACAAGCTCAAAGGAATTAATATAATAGGAAAAAACATAAGAAAAAGGAATTGGCACAAAAATATGCATCTTAACAGCAAAAAGTTGGACCCAACCACAAAGGCTAAGCAGACAATGCAATTCATACAATCAATACATATGCATGAACTGACAAAACTTCACACCAGGCCAAAACAAAAACACGAATGTGAAATAATAATAAGTGAAAAAAAGCCCACAAAAAGTACCCATGGCCTGATAATACCATATTGAAATAGACACGTGGGCAACTACACAAGGGTATTATAGATCTTGACATTCATTCATTTTCTTCTACAACAATGTTTACAGTAAATGTAAAAACATATTAAATTGAATCAACAGAATACTGCTGTAAAATTTACTTCAAGTATTTTTACACTGCTTTTCCTCTCCTTAAAGACCTTACCAGTAGCTCTAAAATACACAAGATGAAGTTCAAACTCCTTCACAGAAACGAAGGCCCTCCAATAGCTGGTACCAAATCATTGTCCCAGGCACTAACCTCTAGTCAAACTGGTCCCCTCACTGTCCCACTAAAGCAAGCCCTTGACTCTTCCTTCTAAAGTGAGACAAGCGTCTGGAGTGGTACAGACCTGGATTTAGGGCTTTGTTCTGATACTTCCAAGTTGTGGGGCCCTGGACAGTTACTTCACCTCTTTGACTGTCAATTTCTTCATCTGGGAGATGGGTATAACAATCCCTTTTTACAAGGTGATTTTAAGGACTAAATTAGATGTCCTATATAGACAGTACCTAACGTACAGTAGGGGTAAGTGTCAGACTCTGTCCTGCTTCTTGCCCTGTATGTGCCCCTGTTCTCATGTCTCATCTGTATTATAAACATCCCATAAGACCCAGCTCAAATCTCATCCCTCTGAGCACCCTAGCAGGCAGACATAATTTCCACCAATGCAAATGTTCATGAAGTGCTTATATATTATTGTGTATTTTTTTAATTCATCTATCTAGCCATTCCGGTGAGGGAGATAGATATGAACAGAGATAATAATAATACACTATGATAGGTGTTCTAATAAATGAATAAACTAAACACTATTCATGTGCACACATATAAATTCTGTTCCCCCCCATTTAGTCTGTATCTTACATTTCTGAACATGCCATTCTCCACAGGAACAGGATAGATATACAGAATTGCAGGGAAAAAAAAAAAACAGAAACCAACCAAAATGATTATAATAGACCAATTTCTCTAACGCACGTTATACTGTTGAAAGCACTCTCCCAGTTGATAACTATCTGATATTCAAAATAAGCTTGGGGGGGAATATTAATATATAGGTCTTTTCATCCCCATTTTACAGAGAAGAAAAGTGAGGTTCAGAAAGCTAACCTGACTCATCCATGACCATATGGGTAAGTGGCAGAGTGAAGAATGAAATCCGTTATCTCCTGTTTCCACATCCACTATTTTTCCCAGTGTTTGCTGTTTTGTGTTAGTAATATAAAAATTATAAACAGTAATAATAGTGGTAATGATAATAAAATAATACTGGAAAAAATTTTAGCTACCTTTTACTGAACACCTGTTCTATTCCAGGAACTGTGACACTGTACTCAGTGCTTTATACACATTTTCTCACGTAACATTGGTCATAATCCTCCAAAGTAGAAATCATTATCCGTGTTCTACAACTGAGGAAACAGAGACTCAGAAGTGAGAAGTAACTTCGTAGTTGATCAGCAATAGCTCAAGGTCCATCTAATTTCTGAAATCTATGTAGTCCCAACTACCAGTGGTTTTCAACCCTGGTTACACGTCAGGAACATGCAAGGAGTTTTAGAGCTATACAATACCTGGACCCCACCCTGAGATCCTAGTTTAATTCACTGGGGTGGGACATGGGCAGGGCTATTTTTAAAAGCTCCTCAAGTGATGCTATGTGCAGCCAGGGCTGAGGAGCACTAGGCCACATGGCACTGCTTCCACAGCACAGCCCACAGACTACCAGAGCTGAGAATGCTGCCCCATTTCTACGGGTCACTAGAAAGGGAGTTGAACAGTAGTAATAAGCTGAACTGTCAGAGCCAGAAAACATTTCTACCTGAAGCCATGTCCATCCCAGGGCTATCAATTCCCTTGATAAGTGAACCAGATGACATCCTCGAAATAAGAACCCTATTCGTTCCCAAGTTACAGCCACATCCAAATGGACATCAACCTAGGGCCTTGGAAAACAAACATCATTAACCCTGTGTCCGCTGAGGTCCTTTATTGTGACCTCCAAATGATGTTTCATTACAAGTCAAGCTCTGAAGTAGCAGCAGACACTTTTCTTGGCTAAAAGATTCCAATGTTGTTTTCTCCTCCTTCTAATTTGTCTCAGTCACAGTTAAGCCACAATTGTCCAATTGGTGAGGCAGGGAGGGAAGAGGCATCTAACTGGGAGTCAAAAAATCTGGATTCTAGTCTTAATACTAACTTGCTATGTGACCTTCATATCACTTCCCTACCAGTACCATACTGGACTGCACTGTTTTACAGTTGAATGAATCTATCTGTAGACCTTTCTCTTTCTCCGTGCTGACTTTCATGTGCTACTTTTAGAGTATTCTAGAAGCCATCCCTGATCAGGCACTTAAGCAGCCTTTTTTTTTTTTTATTAACAATTTCCCTAAGAGCTAGAATTAACCAGCTTTAAAATAAAAATCAATCTCTCTCTCTCGCTCTCTCTCTCTCTCTCTGAAACCTAAATTGAAAGGTATTCAATATGGAGCTTTCATGCCGAACCTTACGCGCTCACAAGGAATACAGACAAATGATCTGACATGGACCTTGCCCTCCAGGAGCTTAAAACCGAGCTAGGAAGAGAAGTTATGCTCATGGAAAATAAGTGTGAATATAATAGCTCAGCATCCACATTAGAGGACCAAATTTGGATGCCAAAAGAAGTATGTAAGGAAGAGTGCCCTGGGGCAGGACTGTCAGAAGGCTTGGTGGACACAGAATGAGACTCGAGCTGGACCTTGAGGGTTGAGCAAGAATCCATCAGGTCCCTTCCCCTCAACAATGGCTCGCCTCTTTCTAGGTGTTTGGCATGGTCAGAGACAGGCGAAGGGTGGAAAATGTAGCTCCGAGCTGTTCCATGCCATCTACACTTTAGGCTTGAGGGTCCTCACAGGCTCCAGAATGCGGAAGAGTAGACACCCCCATCTTCCATGCCTGCCATTTCCTGAGAGCTTGTTACCTAGTGACACTACAACTTCTTAAACCTTATGCTTTGTATACGTAATCTAACTTAATCCCTGCAAAATCTTGCCTTCAATGGTAGTACTGTCCCACAGTTGAGAAAACTGGCTCAAAGAAGCAAAGCTGACCTAACTAAGATCATGCAGATAGTAATAGCCTCCTATAAAAGCAAAACAACTGCTACCATTTACTGAGTACTTATGATGTGCCAGGAACACAGATGCCTCACCTCATTGTTATAGCAGTCTTATGGGCACAATTATTATCCTCATTATACAAATGAGAAACCTAAGGCTCAGAGAGGTTGTGACTTGTCCAATGTCCCACAAGTAGGAAGAGGCAGAGCCAGGATTCAAACTCACATCTGGGAGACTCTGAAGTCTGGGCTTTTAACCACTAAGCCTCTTGAGACGATGGTCTTTCTAACAAACTGTACTTTCTTTTAGTTTCTTTTCAACCTTGATCTGTAACCTGGCTTTTACCATAAACTTGATCTCCCAATCCAGCCCAACCTGTCCCCTCCCCATTCTCAGTCAAATGACCATGACCAGGGAATCTTAGCATTTACAGATTTCGTGGGACCTGATGGTCATCAGTGTTTGACCTTAAGCAACTTTCTTCCACCTTTCTATATATACTCAGCCTAAAGGCACAAAGTACGGGGAGGGTGTTTCCTCATGTGGATTACCCCAGTTTCCTAGAATTATCTCTTTCTTTCTATGGCACTCCTCCATGCTTGCCTTAAAGCCTTTCTGCTTCTTTAGCCATTATTTATCCTTGTAAAACAATTTGGAGTTAGGCTCCAAGAAAGGCAGAGAATAAAAACCTAACAGTAGATTATTAAAGCATAATGAGTCCAAACGAGAAAATGTGGATAATGGCCAGCAACTCCCATTACTGCAAAAGCAAGTCTGTTCCTAATAATTTCAGAGTGGATGCAAATGCTACTCGTAGCATTAGTCACCCTAGTGGAGGACTGACGGCTCTGTGACTGAGCAAGGCCTCACAAGCATCCTTCTTCCAAGCCCAGGAGCATGGCGTGAGATGCGGTCTTTTCTCTCCAGTCAAGACAGAGGAAAGGAGCTAAGAAGGGGTCCAAAGCCCAAATGCCAAAGGTCCCAGACTACGGTGTGCTCTCCACTTTTATCTCAATACCTCAGGTAAAATGAAGGGCTCCTTGCTCCATGCTCCTACTAGAATTTATTCTCACCCCCACTATAATATGGATCACAGTGGGTTGGGATGGGTTGCCTGCAGGGCAGCCTCACCATGAACCTTTGGAAGACAGGGATGATGACCTACCATCTTTGTCTCTTCCATTGCATAGCGCTATGCCTGAATAAATAAGCAAATATAGAAAATTAGATGGGATATAGCCCTCCTCCCTCTTCATTTCTCAAAGGAGAGTCCTAAGTTCCTCTGTGGCAGTTGCACACTTGCCCTTTGCAAAGCCAGGACTGGAAAGAGGCAGTAACATCAAATAAAGGAAGAAAAATGTGCTTATATAATTTTGTACTCTCAAAAGTGAGTGGTTCTTATAAAAATAGAAAGAGGAAGGTGGCCAAAGCAGGGGAAGAAATAGGAAGTGTGTTATAAAGATAAAGAGTCCTGATCTTGGACTCTTGGTTTAGGGCTCATGTGTGCACCTTACAAGCTGGGTTACTTTGGGCAAGTTATTTCATGTCTGTAAGGCTCTGTTTCTCCATCTGTGAAACAGGGAGAGTAAAACCTACCTCACAGGCCTATCTCAATGATTAGATGCAAGAGAAGAAGCAAAACTATCCAGCTCCATGTCTGGAACAGAAAAGGACCCCTGACAAAGAAATACTGATTCTACCGAAAACCTGCCATAGAAGAAAGCAATTTAACATGCTCCAGAGCCCTGAACAACAGAGCTGACATGGTGTAACAACTATAAGGTGCAGAGTGGGTCAGCTGAAGTGACAGTCCCCTCCCTCTGATACTGCCATTCAAGCTGCTGGCCAGCATCAGGAACTTAACAAATATCAATTATAGCTCAGGGTCAGAGCAGTTTGTAGCTTCTACTTAATTGATAACTGTTCTGATGTTGGGGGAATCCACCCTGGAGCAGCAGCCAAAATGGGGAGGGAGGAAGGGGTGAGGAGGTAGGGTGGGTAAGGTTCAAAGAGGCAACTACACCAGAGCATTGGCTAATTCTCCGCCAAAGCCGAAACCACCTCAGTTCTGCTTTCTGCAGCCAAGGCTGGAGGCAAGGTCTTTGAAAAAAAAAGCTACATCATGCCAGCCTGTTGCTAACTGATTGAAGGCAAAAAACAGAGCCAGGTAACGCTGTGGCCCAGATTTAGATAGTCAGGCTGATACTGGACAAGTCAGATCAGTACTTAAAATAACTGAGACCATCAGATCAGAGCACCTGCCGCCAGAAGCCTGGGGCAGGACTGTGGAGGAAGAGGAAGATGGGAGGGCCACTGAGATTGAACAGCAGAAGATGGTGAAGGAGGAACTGATAGGGAGGGACGGAGAGAGGGAGGGGTAAGTTACTGTGTGTGCTGAACTGATAGGATCTGGCTGATCTCAAGGCTTGGCCACAAGCAAGGCAAATTTTACTGTGATGAGTATAAGCTGAGTTACCCAACTTGGCTATTTCTCAGAAGATGCAAATTTTAGGGAGGGGAGGGACAGGGTGAGAGAATCAGTATCACATTTTGAATGCTGATTATGTGCTAGACATTTACACATTATTTCTTTAAATCTTAGCGGTAATTCTATCAGGTGAGCTGTTTTTCCATTTTATAGATCTAGAAACCAGGGTGCAATGAGGCTAAATAACTTAACTGTGCTCACATAGATGCATCAGTAGATTAAGCCAGATAATTTGGAGTCAATTACTTGTGGAAACTATACTGGAATCCCCTATAGAATAGCTTTTACTAAATTATACTCTGAGACAATACCATCAGTACACACTCAGGTTGTTATATGAGACAATTCACGAAAGAAATTTTTCCCTGGCCTTAAAAATTGAAGAGTTATGCTTTACCTCAACAACTGGCTTGTTTTTACCTTAAGAACTTGAAATTATATAACCATTGAGGTTTCTCTCTTTTGTTTTCTCTAGAAAGTTTATACCGAAATTTGTGACACTGCTCCAGCAAGTGTGTCGGGCTTCAGGGCAAACATTTTGTATGCTAATTCCACTCTTGCCAATTCCCTACTGTCCTACCTTTTTTCCCTCACTCCAGGCATCATTTTTTCTTACCTGTACTCTAGAATCTATGTCAAAGGTCACCAAAATTTTCTTAAAGGGTCATTTAGTTAATATTTTAGGCTTTGCAGGTCAGAAGGTGTCCGTTGCTACTACAAATGTAAACGAAGGAGTGTGGTTATGGAAATTTGAATTACATGTAATTTTCATGTGTCATGAAACATTATTTTTCTTTTTGCTTTTTTCAAATATTTAAAAAGGTAAAAAACATTCTTAGCTGGCAGGTAGGCCATATAAAAAGAGGCAATGGGCCCAATCTGGTCCACAGTCACAGTTTGCCAAGGTCTGATCTAAGCTTCAAGGGGGACCTCGTATGTTTGACTCATTCCCATATCCTCAGCACCTAGAATAGGGCCAGGTACACAGTCAGTACTCGAAAAATATTTGTCAGATAAATTATTCTTACCATTTCTAAGTTGTTATATTTTGCTATAGTGTGAAATGCCTTAAATCCTTTTTAGAACAGGACAAGATATAAACACACAAGGCACATTTATAGGTCATCTATAATGGCTATAAAGTAAAGGAGCCAGGATTTAGATCCAAGCCTTTCTGATGCCTAAGTCCATATGTTTTACATTATAGCATACCATCTTTATAGAATTATGCCCCCCAAAACACCCCTCTGGATTAGCCTCAACCTCCTAACTTGAGTCTCTATGTGTGGTAGCCAATTAAATTTGCAGAGGTCAGCCAAATCTTGAAATTGCAATAATTTCCAAAGTCCAGAGTTTTGAGGAAGTTGTGCCCTTTTGTCCTTATTTCTCCCAAACTGCAAAGTGAGAATGAGAAAACAATGGTTCACAGATTCGAAGCTTTTTATAAGAAGTTAAAGTGTCTTACTGCAAAGAACATAGACTTTGGCACTTGCCAGACATGGAAAGATTTAGATCCCAGCTTTGCCAGTTACTAGCTGTAATCCTAGTGCCAGGTACATAGTAAAGTGCCAGGCAAATAGCAGATACTTAATAAATAGCAATGGCAACAATGATATTAATAAATTATATCATGATTATTTATTTATTCCACAAATAACAAGTGCCTTCCATGTGCCAGCCAGGAATTGTTCTAGGCACTTGGGATACAGAGGTAAAAAAAAAAAAAAAAAGCAGGCAAAAAAAAAATGCCTGCCCACAGTGAGCTTACATTCTAGTGATTATTATGAATGGTTTTTATAGTCTTATAATTTCAATATTAGTGGCATTAAACTGGAACAGATTTCCACTTAACTATATAGCCAACTTCAGAATGATCTCAAGGTTTAAAGTATTTGTGTTGACTTCTGGTTTCCAAGGGATTCCCAAAGACTTACCATCCTTATGAGAAGCCAGGGGCCGGGGAGCTGGTCTCTTTATGTGGAAAGAGGGTGTCTTGGTGGGCCCAGATCCTGGCATGGGTCCATTGGTGGCCTTTGGGGTAGCCTTGGTCCCTCCATCCTGTAGCCTAGAAACCAACTTCCCCACGTCCACCTCGGGGCAGGGCTCCAACTTGCCATCTGAAACAGGCCTGCTTGGGGACTTCCTCCCAGGATCAGCTTCCCCACTCCTCTGAATAGGTAGTTTAGGGTGTTGTGGTAGCTTGAGGGGTTCTATGCTGCCAGGGATAGTACCATTGGGTGTTTGATGTTGGATTTCATCTGGAAAAAGTTGGTGCAAAGAGGGAAGATTAATGATAATCTTTGAAACATTTTTTATTTTGACATATGCCTATATACTTAATGTTGAAAATCTGTACATATTTTCAAAGGATGTATCACTGTGGCACAAATCAAATATATCCCACAAATTCATACTCTACCCTCCCCAGTTCCTGTGGAGCCACTGGTCCCATCCAAATAAGGAATTCAGTTCGTGATCCTAGTACAATTTTCACCATCACAACTCAATAAACCACAATAAACCAACATGTTTTATTCAAAGGAATATGTAATTCAAAAGGGACTCAGAGTCCCCAATCAATTGCATATTCTATTTTTTTAAATAAAGAAATCAGTTAATTCTTAACTATTTCCCTCAAAAGTAATGTTAAGGTCTCTCAAATTTCAAGTTAATAAACAAAACAGGATTTAACTTCTTTCTCTACCCCAGGAAAGAAATCCCCAACTAGCCACTTTTCTTCCCCCAGCTTTTGTGGACTACAATTTCCTGTGATATTAGTACATTATTTCAGTGTTTCTGAATCTTACTTCGGGTTTTTGAGACCCTGAGAAGAACCAGGGACCCTCTCCCTAGAGAAACTAACCTATACGAATACAGTCAACATTTTGAAAACTAATTTTAAGTTATTCAAAAAGCCCCTTGAAGCTCTCAGTGAACCAAAGATTGAGAATGTATGGAAATTGTTACCTTTCTTAAGAACAGAAAACATAGATCAGAGTGCCCTGGTTATGAGAATAAGTTGTGGCCGGCAAAATGAAACCTGAGAGATGTTATCAACCAATTATAATACGTGGATCTTATTTGGATCCTGATTTTTTTAAATGAGATAATAGAATTTGGACACTGACTAGATAGTTGTTCTTAAGGAATTACTGTTTTGTTCTCTTTTCTTTTAGGTGTGATGACGGTACTGTGGTTTCACTTTAAAGAATCCTCATCTTTTAGAGAGGACACTCCATAATCGGCAGTTATTATTTATGCTATTATGTAGCAAGTAGGCAGTAGACAAGAATTTCCATGTGACAAGTCTTGCTATAAAGACATTTTTCCCCCAGAGTTTTCTTCTCCTTGGGAATCTGTCACCAATTGCTGCTGCTACCGCCAAAGGGACTGGAACCAAGGGGAGTTCCCCTACTCTGGTCTCAAGGTAGGTACAAAACCCTTATTTTATTAAGCCTGACACAACTTCAATAGTACTGCAGCAGTCAAACAAAACATTACCAAAGGCCCACAAATAACGGCAGGGAGATAGGCCAACAATGCCATGAAACAATTAGGTTGGTGCAAAAGTAATTGCGGTTTGGGACTGTGAATTTTAAATCATTATAACTAGGCTCAAACACATCTTTATTATAATCAAAATAGGAACCACTACAATCAACATATTTTTGCCAACGAGAACTAAGTTTATTTATTCCTGTAGCGTAAAAATCCATGCTTTGGGATTCAAGGAACGTTTGAAAAGCATTTTCTGTGTCCTGCTGGTTGTGGAGCGTTTTCCCTGCAAAAAGTTGAGATGCTTGAAGAAGTGGTACTCGGTTGGCAAGAGGTCAAGTGAATGTGGCAGATGAGGCAAAACTTCGTAGCCCAATTCATTCAACTTTTGAAGCGTTGGTTGTGCTACGTGTGGTCGGGCATTGTCATGGAGAAGAATTGGGCCCCTTCTGTTGACCGATGCTGACTGCAGGCTTTGTAATTCTCAGTACATCTCATGGATTTGCTGAGCGTACTTCTCAGATGTGATGGTTTTGCTGGGATTCAGAAAGCTGTAGTAGGCCGGGCGTGGTGGCTTCACGCCTGCAATCCTAGCACTCTGGGAGGCC